AGATGGTTTAAAATAAGGCCAAGAGAGACTCAAGGATGATGTGGGGCACTTGTTAACAAGGAGGAAGATTCTATCTGGAAATCTTCTGAGTGACAGAGGACAACCCCTATGATGAACAGCAAATTATGGGTTAAAAATGTCTGTAATTTTTGTATATACTTTAGCTAACTTCTTTCTAAAATGTTCATATGTAATGGATAGGTATGATTTAGATGACAGTCCAGAAATGTGATGCGAAAAAAATGAGAATGATGACAAAGGAAGTAATTTATCCGTTCTCTTACCTCCCACAGCCCAGACATTTATATTTTCCTTAATATCACTACTCACTCCAAGAGCATTTGAGTAGCTCGTAACAGTAATAATGAGATAATTAAAAATACAAATAAAAGCAGAAAGTAACAAAAAGAGCAGCACACAACCCCAATTTTTAACAGAATTAGTATAAAGCAAGCATCAAATTTCTCCCTGAGTTTCTGGGAGGCCAAGACTAAAAAGGCTGCGTAGTAATTTGCACAATTCTCATTAGCATAAGCAGCATGCCAGTTCCTAAAGGGAAGCTTGGCACTGTTTTTACTTGGATGCACGTCTCATCTCCTGTATCCTGAGGGCATGGTTTACGTCCAGTTAATCTCGATTCCCCATATAACTTTCATGATAGAATACATTTAAAAATCATTTAGAGGACAGTTTGCTGACGGAGAAGGGAACGAGCAGGAAAGCACATCAGTATTTCTGTTCCCGTCCATTTTGCTCTTGGAAGTGTCTCACATATACAGCCAATGGCATCTCAATAGAGCTTCCTTTCAGATTCAGAAATTATCTTAGCACATTTATAAGAAATGCATATATATATATATATAAAGCTGAAGCAACTACAGGTTCTCCTACTCTGTTCCTTCTCCATCTCCTTTGCTGAATCTTTCTCATCCTCCTAACCTCTAAATTTCGGAGTGCCCAAATTTCAGGCTGGGACCTCTTCTCTAATATACTCCTTGGATGATTCCATCTAGTCTTATATCCTAAATTCCCAAATTTGTATCATACGCTCTGACCACTGCCTAAATTTCACACTCATTGTATTTTACTGTCTGTATATTATCTCTGCTTGGATGACTGACAGGCATCTGAAGCGTAACATTCCTGTAACACAGTTCTTGAGGTGCTTCACCCAGATCTGGTCATTGTCTCATGAATATATGACTCCTCTAGCCTTCCAAGCTTCCAGTTGTTTTGGCAAGAAACCTTGGAGTCATCCCTGCACATCCCCCACTGAAAACCTATTATTTAATATGTCAAGAGGTCCTACTGGCTCCACCATCAACATATAGCCACCACTTCTCACCACATCCACTCCAGTAACCCTAGTCCCAGCCCCACTGTCTTCTTCCCGGTCTATTCTAGTATCTTCCTAACTGGGTTCCCTGCTTCCACTCTTTGTCTGTTCTACACAAAGAAGCCAGAAAACTTTCCAATAGCGTTTCGTCTCCGTCTGATTAAGACCTGGAGGCCTTCCTTGTAGCTCTTGGCCTCTAAGACCCTACACAGCCAGCTCACTGCTAGCTCTTCTGACCTCATCTGCCGCTCTTCACTTCCACTGTTCCACTTCTACCCTCTCTTTGCCGCTCCTTGACTAGTCCAAGCAGGGTCATTTCCAGGGCTTTAGGAGCACCATTGCCACCGGCTGGCATGCTCTTCCCTCACAGACTCACCAGGCCTGCTCTCTCCTTCAGCCTTCTGCTCTAATGTCAAATTATCAGAGTCCTCCCTTTACTGTCCTAGCTGGACTGGCACCAGCCTCCCACCTCCCGGACACACCCTCGCCGTGCTGTCCTCCCGCACAGCTTTATTTTCCTTCTTAGCAGTCATCACTGCACGACATCATACAGTTGTTAACACGTGCACCGTCCATCTTTGTGAAATTCTGCAAGAGCAGGGTTTTGTTTCAATTGTAGCCTCAGCTCCCACAACAGTGCCTAACACACATACAGCAATTAACATATATATATTTGTTGAAGAGATGAATGGACAAACAAATGAACCAGTTGCAGATCAACTGCTGAACACCTTTAGTTTACAGAAACCCTTCTAATTATAACCTACACTTTTAACGACTAGCCTGCCTGTTAATGAGATGAGTTACATTAAAGACTTATGTAAACCCTGCTAACTGAAGGCGCTTTAAGCCTTAATGAAGCCTGCAAATCTTTAGCAACTTATTGAGCAGACTTATTTGTTGAAGCAATAAGGACATGTTAGTCAGGAGAATTCCATTTGTGTCCTTAAAAATTTGCTTTTATCTATCAAATCGTCATTACATTTGATGCTTACATAAACATCCCATTCATGTTCTTTTAACGGGAGGTTCAGATTCTGAAAAAAAACCCTACGTAACAATGGGGCTGGTAGTCAAATTTCATCCCCTTGACTTCGCATGAACAGGTACCACGTGCTTTAAGTGAAAGCATCTGAAAAGCCAAAGTTGTGACAAGGGCGAAGTCAGCGCTCGAACCCAGCACTATGTCCCTTGTTAGGGGCAGAATGTTCACATTTCCTAACAGGATTTCAAATGCTGACGTGTGATTATCTCTGTGGAATCAATTAAATGGACTCTCTTGTTGCAAATGTAAGTAGTGACTTTAAATATTCCACATTACAAATGCCATCTAGATGGGAGTTCCTATTCTTTTTTTTTTTTTTAAGTCCTGAAGGTATTTTTAGAGAAATAACAGTGTATGAAACTGGGCCACAGAGATAATGAAACTTTACTTACTTGGAAAGTGCTCTGAATCAGCACACTTGTTGATCTGAATTAGCACATGATTTCCTGAACTGTGGGAATAATTTCCGGAAGCAGGGCTCTGAAATAAATATGACTAGCACCTAAGCTAGGAATAAAACGTCTGTCTTTGCCATAACAATTAGTAAGCTTTTACGCAAAAGGGATTCGCAGAAAGCAAGAAAAAAACACCCATGTCTGTATTCTCCGGACAAGCTGAAGCATGGTATCTGAATTTAAAGTGATGAAACCAGTAAAGTTAACGTAAGCCTTGCTATAAATAACACTGTTTCGTTATACAAAAATTTCAAAGAAAGCCCCTCGGACAAGGGAGCTTGTTGATTAGAGAACCAGGCAGCTCAGATGTGAGGAGCCACGTAACAGAAGACCCCAAGCCAAGAGCCCAGTGCCGGAGAGAACGCCATGGTTAGGGAAAAGCTCACAGGGGCACAAAAATCATAACGGGAGGTGAAGTAGCAGTTGTTTAATTTTTCAGTCAATAGCAAAAAATAAAATTCTTGTAGTTTTACTGGAAGTTGTGACTTCCAACAGATTTCCATAGAATTAAAACGTTTAAATGCCAGTTTTGAAAAAAAAGTAAGTCTATACCTACACACAGCATTTTCTTATACTGCGACTAGCTTATTGGAAATATAATCGTTAAACTTTAAAGTTTTTAAAAATAAATATAATTGTTGAGCATGTCTGAGAAATGAGAAGTGCGCTTGTTTCTTCCAAATCAACGTGTGCTTGCAAGGAACGCTATTTTCCCCCTCTGTCTTCACCTAGGTCTCTTTTAAGTTTCTAGCTGCTAGTTGCTGCTGTTTTTATGGGGTGGTCCATCCCCTCGCCCAACAAGAAGTCTCTTTAAAAAATAGCATGGTTTCAGGAAAAGAGATAGACCAGGAGGGCAGAAGTGTAAAGATCTGTTATAAATAAGCCATGACAATGAACGAGGCACTTAATGGAATTTGTCTTTTTATCTGTGAATCCAAGGATGCTGATTAAATGACCTCAAAGATCTTTTCTGACTCCAAAATCCTAATTCGATGGCCAAAGCAGGGATCGTCATTTTCTCTACACATCAGTAAAGTAATATGAAATGAAGGGACAGATTGACAGCTTGACTACTTGAAAGCAGCACAAGAGAAAAAAGCTGTCACTTGTTTTTAAAAACCGACGGGTAACCTGTACCCCTCATTCCCATAACAATGAAAGAAACAACCTTTTGAAAAAGCAACAATCTCTTTGAAGAAGTTTGAAGGAACATGCTATTAACTATCGGCATTAGGATGTGCTGATTTCTGACTTTTCTATTTACGCAGAGGAATCTGTGATATCACAATGACAACTCTGAAATTTGTATCTAACATTTCCTTGACAATTTAGAATGTCACTGCCAATTCTCATCCCCAGAACCAAGTCTGCAGAGCTAATGAAGGGTATACTGTGTCACAAGCAGGCTGGAAGACTTTAACTTGAAAAAAAAAAATGTTTCCGAATTGCTGATTTTCTCCAAATAGTTTTCTGGTAACAGGATCTAAGAAAACGGATGCCTCACAGCAGACTTACAGTTTAACATCGATAATTCTTCAGGTTTTACTTTCCTTTCTCCTCCAGTAAACCTTAGGACTAGTTAGGATGTTAATTTTCATTTAAGTGAAAAAAAAATTTTAGCCCCAAATTTCTGAAGATAAAAACTTACAACATACTACAAGAATAAACATTTTTTAATGCCTCATTTTACTACTAAACACTCATCTTTCTAAGCTACTGTTTGGGTATTCACACTTTAACTCTGGAAAAGCAGTTTGTGCAGGTCTGATTCACTTTTTTATACATGAAGTTTCTTTTTTCTTTTTTAAAACACCATTGTGTTAGCCTTTTTCATGTTCCAAAATCTCTCTGCTTTCCCCACACTTAAATTTCATTTAAGTACCACTAACCTTCCTTAATAGCTTTCTTTCTAGATCTTTTGGTTTCTACTTCTGAAAAAAAAAAGTATATAGAAGCACACATGTGCATACAATTGCAGAACTAGAGAAATAATAAAACAGCTATCCACAGAGCATTCTGAATTTTCATCCACGAGTGGTACTGACCACCTAAAATCACGGATATCACATAATACTAAAAGTCAGAAAGAATGATCCAATAATCAGGTGATAACATGCTGATGACACTTTCTTTCAAATGCTGTCAACAGGTAAGGCAGCTAAGAAAGTACAAAATACAATTGTCCTGGCATTGATCACTCTCGTATTCAGTATTTTGTGTCAATGCTGCAGCACTCTGAAAAAAGTGTGGAAAGTTAGTGAAATTTTAAACCAATTAGATACGCAAGACACTTAACAGATGACAGCAGTCAAACCTACAAAAATTGGAATACACTGCACACATTGTTACATGTGTGGAAGAGCTTTATACAGTCAAGCGTTTCAGGAATGCTACAAATCAGAAGTGGAATAATAAGTTTAATGCAGATGTTTTATACTGTAACATTCTACGGTATTTGGTACAGTATATGGGTCTATATTAACTTTTATTGTTTCATTATGTAGTTATGACAGCCCCACCTCAAATTTAACGTGTTTAAACTTTAAAAACCCCATAAACTACCTGGTTCTTCCTCCTGACCTCTATTACCATCTCCAGTCTCCTGATAAGTTATACCATAATTCTGAGCCATTCCTAGTTCCTTTACCGCATCCCATCCCCCACACCACAGCCGATCAGTTGGCAAATCCTATGGAGTCTTCCATCCAAATCTCTCGTGTAACCAGTCCTTCCTTTCCACTCTCATGGTGGCCGAGTTCTGGTCCTTTATTCAACTACCTCACTAGTCTCCTCTCTAGTTCAGACTGCACATCATCACCAGTTTCATTTTGGTAAAATACCGGCTCACCATTATACCGCTATTTGTCCACGTACGTACAACACTGGACTAGCTTTCAAGAGCTTCTATGATCTGACCTCAATACATCCTTCTCTAGTACCATTCACAGTAACTACAGAGATTCTCCCTGTCAGTTAAACTGATCCACCTGCTAACTCCAAACACAACTTACCGTTTCCTCAATGGCCTTCACTGCTCTGTTACTCACTTTGTCTGGGATGTTCTACACCCACCCCCCCAGAGCTATGAGACAAAGACGACTGAAATCCTACCACCTTAAAGACCAGTTTAACTTAAGATTCCCCCATCAAGTCTACCCTGAAAAACCCCAGCAGAGGGTGCTCCTTCCTTTTCCACCAAGATTTTAGAGCATCTATCTCACCACAAGCATGTAGAGCCGGGGCTGGCTCTCCTGTTACATCTGTAACTTTGCTCACGTGCAAGACATATAATAAATGAATAAATGAGTGTATCAGTAAATGGATCATCACATAAATGAGACTAAGATCTTGGGTAATATTAAACTTTCAGGATTTGGGAAATAAGAAAAACAAGTATGTTAGAATTCTGTGCCAGGTATCCCCAAATTAAGAAATATAATGAGACTTGAACATTAAATATTTGAAATACTCCAGACACTTTAATTTGTAGGTTTTAGAGTAGGAAAAGCTACTGTGTCTATATCACATTGTTCTTGAAAGTACATTCAAAATATAAGATTAGACTGTTACTTTAAAATATCATATTTTTTTAAAATTGTCTTTCCAATGAAATAAAAAGCTTTCTTAAAAACATTGTTTTAAAAATATGCCCTTTATCCAGAAAATACTTCAATGATAATTCAGAGACTTTTCAAAGGAAATTCAGATACTTTTAAATTAACTATGCCATATGATGTATATCGACGGTTTTTGGGAAAAATGGTTCCTAGTTCTGTAAAGATATACAAATATATCAAAGGATCTTTCATAGAACAATGCTAGAATTTGTCAATAAAATCAAGTTTAATATAATATATTAAGTTACTGTTTGAAATAAAGATCATTTAACAACCATAAATGCTATAGCTTTAGATACAGCCCTAATAAAGAAAGTATTACATTTAACCTCCACACCGTATTAGCTCAGATAAAGTGATTATATTTGTGTCTGGAGTATTAAAGCACTGAAGTGTGTTTCAATAAGAAACAGCAAATGTCCTTTATGATGACACTGATTGTTTTTATCACTTGGTTAAGTGTTGGCTGTGTTTATACACATACAAGACCTGTGGGCATAGCCTGGATCAGTACGTATTTATCCTCTCACTCTGTCGGCAGACATGCTGGGTGCTGACTTGGCCTCTACACTGTATAAATGACATGAAGGAGCCAGAATTTGTTAAAGGGAAAAAATATCAGCATTTAGAAGCAGGGGAAATACAAGGTAAAACAGGCTGATGTAAACTGGACTGATGGACATTCAATAATTGCTCCTCTGGTGTCTTAACACCCCTTCTCCATCCTGCAAAACTTTAGTTTCTATTAGGGATGCCTGTGATTCTGAAGAAAGTGACTGTACTCTGCTTCCAAGGGTGATACAAACTAATCAGTGGTCATAGTGATTCATCAAGAAGAAGAATGTGATCTAAACCAGCTTTTTTTTTTTAAGTGAGTTTCATGATATTTTCTGAGAATAGTGAGTCAAAAGCTGCCCTCTCTTTCTCTCTCTTTAGATGTAAACACAGGTGCTTATCACCCCAACTGAATAAGGATGCATATGGTCCCTTCGTGGGGAGAGGAGCAAGTCTTAGGATAAAAGTCACCCCTCTAAAGACCGAATGATGTGCAGGACATTGGGTTGTTGGTGACATTGCTGACATTATTAATGAGCCGAAGCAATAAATCTTGTCTAAATCTAGCCCGACTTCTGGACTTTTCAGTTATAGAAGTCAATAAAGCCTCTGTGTCACTTAGGCCAGTTTGAGATTTTGTTTTAAGGTACATGCAAACAAAAGAGTCATAACAGATGCAAAGGCAAACATACATCGTTACACAATGATGGCAGTAAACGTATCTACAAATTTACCATTTTTTTAAATGGAAGAAAATCATTAAAATCAGCAATTCAACAAATCCACAGAAGCACAGAGAAGAAAAAAATCACAGTAACTGCAAACTGCATCTAGGTTTAACAGGAGAATCATTTAAAGGTTCCATTTTGGGTTTCCTGAAGTAAAATTTCTTACCTGGAAATGGACTATGTCTATATTCTATCTTGTGCTGGGGATTCTTCCTAAAAAAAAAAAAAAAAAAAGAAGAAAAAAAGAAAGAAAGGAAATATAAGGTCTAGTCTGACAATCACTAAAAATGAATAAGGCCATTTAAATTAAACTAGAGTATTCACTAATCTACGAATAAAATTAACAATAAGCCTCTTATTGAAAAGCATTTACTTTGTTGCTGTTGCTATTGTTAACCATAGTCACCACGCTGTACAAAGCATCAGCTTTTTAATTACAACATTTATCGAGTGCCTCCTCCATGCCAGGCACATTTCTAGATGCAAAGACAGAGTGGTGAATGGACAAAATTCTTCCCTCATGACTTACATTCTACAGAAAGGCAGTATGACACGAATCTAACGTACTGTATTTCTAAAATGTCAGTGGCATATGTCACACACATAAAATACAATGTGAATTAGTATATAAAATATATAACACAAAATAGCAAATGTGTGTGTGTAATGCCTAAAGGGTATTTTTAAGGCTCTTCTTGAATCCAAAGACAAAAGCACATGTCATGTCTCTCCAAAGATTATCAACCAATTATTAGGAGAAAACAGGTCAACTTGCACTGAGAAAGTTATATAACATACTGCAAAGTCAGACAGACACTACTGTTTGAATCTGCTTTTGATTATATGCACTGATGACCCCATCTACTATTTTATTAAACAAATATTTGGGTACACTGTATATACAAGACATTCTCTAGATAATGTAAAACTACCCAGGCAGCAAAACCCCAAAGCTCTAACTGGTGGATCATGATCCGCTTGGTGGGTACCTTTCTCTTAGGGGACTGACAAAGGAGAGCTGGGGAATGTCGACAATAGATAAGCGCCAAGGTGTAGGGTTCATATAAAGCTGTTGGGAGGACAACGAAATGCATAGTAAGTCCTTAGTCTAAGGGTGCAGCAGGTGGTAAGTAATTAATATCAGCCAGTGACTCATCATCAACAGTCCAAGAAACACGCAGGGGGT